GAGTATTTGATTACATACAAATAGAATTCCATAAATGTCCGAGGGTGGGAAGAGTATGTTTCTTACATGGACCTGAGAATTTTGTAAACAATTATTGTATTTTAAAATATTATTATGAATATAATTCTCAAATGTTCTGCTAATCTTTTTTTAAAGTTTATTGAACTTTCTATCACCCTCTGTTTATTACATATTAAAATATGCCCTCGACTGTTGGTCCTGCTCTATATTTTATATAACTGATATCTGACATATCACTTTGAATGATTCAATCATTAGTCAAGTTCATGAAAGGTTTTGATGTATGCATGTAGCCATTGTTAGTAAAAGTCGTTTGATTCTCATCTTAAAATATAGTATGTAACTTTGTCGACATTAAGATCAAAGAAAACGGAGATAAATTATCATGAGGAAGAAAAGAAAGAAAAACTTTTTTTATTTTATGTTATTCCACGACAACAATCGAAATGCGTGCTTTGCTTTTTTATTCTTCTTCTTCTTATTCTTTTCATGGTTCTTTCTCAATGTTAGAATAGTCTGTAAACTTCAGCATCCTACGAAGAAATAACCAAGGCAAGTGCTACCGTTCTATTTAAAATCATGTCAAACACGTTCATAAATGCTGATTGAATGGATTTTGAAAGTTGTCAAACGTCCACATTCTGTATTAAATATAGGCAAATCATTTCTCAGCAATATATTTATTTATTTAGAAAATAGCATTATCATGTCAATCGTCTGGACAAAGTAAAATCTATGCATTTAATCAAGTTACACAGGGAGTAGCCTTCTCATCACCACACAACTATTGTACTCATGACGAAGAGATTTTAATAGAAAAAAATAGTGGTAGATTCAATTTATTTGAATCGAAAACGAGCTACTGGAATTTTATCAACTAATATTTTAACCCTTATCACCGACGAGATACGGTGAAAAACAAGATAATGGTGACAGTTCTTCTACTACACCTTTAAAACAAAGAGGATTTGAGTGTTTTCAGAAGTGACTACCGAGGTTGAAGAATTCAATTAAGAAACATCATCGGATTCGATCACATTGAATGACGAATTCTGTTTAATGATCCAACAAGTTCAAGTGAATGAGCATAAAATAGTTTTATGAGATACTGCAATAAAACTGAAAAAATCAAATGTGTAGGATTTTCAACACCTATACTTTTTCTCTTTCCTCTTTTACAATAACATTTTTTCTATCTAAAACGAATACGTAGACCGATGACTTCTTTGTTAAAATATTATTCTACGCCCTCTTAATATTTTTATCAAGAAGCAATCGTAAGGAGAAGATCTCACAAATATGTAGTGCATCCTTTTACACCTATATGCTTATGCTCCAATTCGAATGTTTATATACTTGTGAAAGCTACATTAGGCACGTTAGAGAACACATTACGACTTTTTCTGAACCACTCCCGCTAGTCCTAGCCGTTCAAATAACTCTGCATCATTTTTTTTCAACGACAGTTAGATCTCCGCGTCTATCGGAGTAACTAAACGTTTTGATCATAGCTAGAAAATTGTTTTTCATGTATCAAAGCTCAAAATAGAACACATGATGTTTTACCACTAGATAAATAGTATTTTCGAATTTCATAACTCTAACTTTCACCACAGCTGAGAATTCATGTTCTATTTGATTTCTTCATCTGATTTCATCAGTATTCAGTGCTCAGAATAAGAGATTGAATGCATCCAACAGTATCCAATTGCGTAGCTTTTATTTGGATATATTCTCATTTGTGATAGCCTCACACGATTGCGATGCATCCATCTATGACTCAATGTATGTTTACGATAACATTTTCAGATAGAATTGAATTTTAAGTATAAACATGACTGCAGCAGTGAAAAATGCCGATGCTATTGTTAGAGGTAATCTTCGTTGTTGTCGACTACGTAGATGGACTGGATATGATGGATTTGGCTTTAGTGTGAAAAGAGTATCACCTCCACCACATGTAATCGAATATGTTGAGTCCAATAGTCCAGCAGCTGCTAGTGGCCTCAATGGAAACGATGCGGTGCTTGCTGTTAATGATAAAGATATGACGCATACTAGTTACGATGAGCTAACAACTGCTTTAAAAAAAACACGAGATAGTGATAATTATGTGGACTTGCTGGTTATTAATGAGAAAATTTATCGAAGATTACAAAAAAAGAATCAATTGATTAACCCTAGACACGCAACGATAATTGAAACGCCACGTACAATGCCCATTGATTATAAAGACTTTAAAACACAAGAATTATTTACATCAGAGTCGTCCATTTCTGATGATGATGATGATGATGATGATGGTAAGTGTTACTATTAGGCACTGTAAACGAACAAAGACGCTCTCTTTTTTTAGCCTAACTATCAAAGTCTTTCGTTTAATTCATAGTTTCAAAGAGTACTATTTAAATTCTTTATTTAAAACGAGTGTGTGAATTCTATGCTAGGTCATTTCGGACGGAGTCAGTTTCAACGTCAGGTAAGTGAATTTCAAGTAAAATACCAACTTATCTTGTCTAAAATTAATATGCAACTATATCAGTTCGCTTATGAGTAGATCGACTCGACTAACTGGAATAAAACATGAACTTATCCCGAATATAAAATAAATTGGCTATCATGTGACTTAGTCAACGAATAGGATTAGTTTTCATCTATTTCTTGCTTCGAGCGTTTACATATATGTAATTCTCTTTTTAGAATTTTACCGTTCACAACCACTTGACATAGATGTTTTTTTCAAGTAGAAGTATCAAATCTTTATTTCCAAAATATTTCAATGACGGGGAGATACTTTCCAATGTAATATGTGTTTACTATTTTCAAATACAAACAGACTTTTAAAACGAATTAAATCCTACCTTCTTTTGTTAAAATAATAACCAACATACTCTCAATATTTGCCGGCATATTCAAAAACATCAGTAATACTATATATTCTATACGTTCTCTATTTTTTGCAGTGAGAGTATATCGCATTTATTTTGGTGCGTAAGAAAGTTTTAAAAATAGCTCACGCCCAGTTATTGTTGAACTGTCTGTCTTTCTTGTCGAATGAATATTTCTATTCATTTATAGTTCTAACTAGGACGTTTCCTAAGATCTTCTTGATATAACACTATACTTATCATATATTGTGCATATATTTCAGGATCCGAAATCGATATTGATGCATTCGTCTCTGTCAATGCTGGCTATGGCGAGGATGACATTTCTCAAGTAGGGAGTAACTTCTACTAGCTAGTTTTTCTTTAAATTTTATTGGTATTTTTATTCATGATTGTGTTAGAAAAGTTTGCATTTAATAAGGATATATTATGTAAAACGTGCGATGACAACGTGGTTGTAGTATTTTTCAACCCTATCTCACTAATATACGCCATCAGTCGATTTAGATGCTTTTAACAGCAAAGTGTAATTTGATTCCTCATAATTATTTACGATTTATCAATATGAAAGCAGCTTTGCTATGGTTTAGAAAAATAACTGATTGCAAAACAGATTTTTATCAACAATGCGGATTCCTAAATTAATTGTATATATTCGACACAAAAATTAATGGCCAATCTATTTTTTTCTCCTTAAAGATATAGTCAATCTATTCGAACAACGTAATATTTAGGTCATCACTATACTCATACACTTTATAACTGTGCTGTTGTCTGAAACGTTCAAGTTGACTGCTCGTAATTTCAGTGTGTAGTGATAGAGACATGTCTAATTATATTCAATAAGTTAGAAATCATTCTATGAAATATTCAATATTATCATACACCATGAATATTGTCAACTGTCATAGTCCGACCAAAGAATTCGACACTCAGTGACTTTTTCTATTTGTAGTCTATTACCATTAGTTTCAACAAAGGAACTCATGCTAATGTTCTCTTCTGTAGACAATAGACACTAAAAGAAGTTCAAATTTACCGATCAGTGTGTGTATGGGTGACCTGATAACACTAAAAGTAATTAGAATCTTGAAAAAGTATATCAACGGTGTAAATACTTTCTTTCTATGTGTTAGTCAGATGTAATTGTTGTCTGCTCATCGTCACAGTATCTATTTAAAAGCATTTGCAAAGCTGGTGGTGATTCTGTGTCAACTTCATACAATCAACAAATCAGTGAAAACCCTGATGCGCCCATAATCATCGTTGCAACAGCTGGAGGAATCGCATCGAAGAAAATTTACTTTCTTCCATGGAAAGCCGATTCCGACGAATATGTCCTCTGTAAATCTATAAAAAGATTTGTTTCGCTTGCATTAAAAAAGGCAATCGAGCAAAACTATCGACGTATTGCGTTCCCAGCAATTGGATGTGGCCAATTTGGTTGCTCAATCAGTCTCGTTGCAGATGCCATGGTGGGAGAAGTTCATCGTAAATCCAGAATACATGACATTTCCGTTACATTCGTAATACAGCCAGATAGAAAAGATATCTATGATGAATTTAAAAAGCAAATTGATTTATTAGAGTCACCATCACCATCTAGTAAACTGCGAATAATATGCGCAAAATTTGGGGAAGGAGACATTGAAGTTGAAATGGGGGACATAACAAAACAGAAGGTATTTCAAAGAAGATGAATATTCTTTTCAAACTTCACTATTTTTATATTCATCTGAT